GACATGCACAAGCACACTGTACGCTTCCTACTGTAAATACAGATTTAGATTGTATCACAGCCACACCTAATTCCAGGTAACAAACAGCACAGATTTGTTCCTTGGACATTGTTGGGATTTGGTCTTATACAGTAAGCGCTCATATTATTTGATAGACTTTCACATTAACTCTGCATTTCTACTGTCAGACTGAAATCGAGCAGGTGGCCTGAAATTGAACTGAGCGACTGTGATGTACTAAATACTTTTTTTTTTCTGTTCTTCTTATTTCCTTTGTGTGTTCTTTGGATTGTTACCCCCATCTGTAATTTTAGCCTTCACCAGAGGAAGCCATCAGGAGATCAGCTCTACAGACCCGAGCTTCACGATGAGAAGGAAGATGGAGCACTTGAGAGAGGAAATGGAGCAGATAGGACTGTTACGACAGGTCAGATGCCTTGCAGCTTATTTATGCCTTTGCGTTTGTATGAGTCATGGAGTCATACAGAGGCCAAAGCTCAAGAGATCCTGCTTTTGTTTCAGTGTTTACTCCTTTGAGCTAGACAATTGCTTCTTATCCAGCCTTCCTGCTTAGGAATACAGATTCATCATGACTTCACTTGGTTTCCAAGGAATTAAGAAACACGCTGAGTCTAAATTGACTCATCTATTTATGCTGGGGCTATAGCAACGGAGGGATGGGTGTGAAGGGCTGAAACACTTTTGTTTTTGCTTATGAAAATAATTTAGGAATCAGGGTGGGCTCCTAGCTGGACCTACAACCTACTAATTCCAACATAGTTGGGAGGATGTGTGAAATTTAAATAAAAACAGAATGCAGTGATTTGCAAAACTCATAAATCCATATTTTATTCACAACAGAACACAGAAAACATCAGTTAAACAATGTTTAAACTGTGACACGGCATCATTTTAAGAAGAAAAAACGGTCATTTTGAATTAAATGGGAGCAACACATGTCAACAAAGTTGGGACAGAGCCATGTTTGTCATTGTGCAGCATCCGCTCTTCTTTTTTTAACAGCAGGACTTTTGGGAGGGGAATGTATTCCTGTTCTTATCTAATAGTGGACTCAAGCTGCTCAACAGTCCTGGGTCATCAAATGTTGGACTCCAGGCAGGCCAACTCAGCACCCAGACTGTAATAGATGCAGTATGTGATTTGGCACTGTCTTGTTGAAATATGCGAGTTAAAAAAAAGAAAAATATGTTATCTGGAAGTGAGCGTATGTTGCTCTAAAGCCTGTATATATCTTTCAGCACTGATGGTGCCTTTCCAAAAGTGTAAGCTGTCATCAGAGATGCAGGTTTTTTTTAACTGAACACTAATAAAATCCCACATCATCCCTCTCCTGTTTCATCAACAAAATGTGGCATCCATGTTTTCCGAAAAGAATTTCTAATGTTGATTTGTGCAACCATGGAACATTTACTCCACTTTGCCTCAACCAATGAGCTTTGGTTCATTGCATAATAGAGCTTTAACCTGCATTTGTGGATGTGGCATGGCAAACTGTGTTCACAGATGTTAATTTTAGAAAGCATTCGTGAGCCCCTGCAGTGATTTCCATGAGAGAATCATGCCTGTTTTAAATGGAGTGCCACCAGAGGGCACGTAGATCAACAAAAATCTCCAGATTCTCTAAATCAGGGGTCCCCAACTCCAGGCCTCGAGGGCCGGTGTCCTGCAGTTTGCAAATGTGTCTGTGATCCAACACAGCTGATTCAAATGGCTAAATTACCTCCTCAACATGTCTTGAAGTTCGCCAGAGGCCTAGCAATGAACTAATCATGTGATTCAGGTGTGTTGACCCAGGGTGAGATCTAAAACCTGCAGGACACCGGCTTGGAGTTGGGGACCCCTGCTCTAAATCTTCAATAAAAAATATCTGTCATAAAATAGTAAAGGGCCTCAATTTAAATGTTGGATATTTTTCTTCCATTGTGAACAAAATACAGGTTTATGAGATCTGCAAATCATTGCATTATCTTTTGATTTACATTTTATACAGTGTCTCCAATTTTTCCGAACTGGCTTTGTAAGTACACTCTTACTGTTCCCACAGGAATTAAGGTGTGCAGCAGCTGGGTTCTGCTAACCAAATGCACTCGATTAATTCATTATCACCAAATGTGAGCACCTCAATAAAAGTCAACGTTTTGGCATTCTTCTCGCCTGGAGTATTCGGGCATGCTAACACATGATGGGACAAGGTCCCAAGGTCACACTGAGCAATGCTCAGAGATTCTGCACAAACCCCGAGAGGTACAACTCACATGTAGCTCAGAGAATCCTTGCAGCTAACGAGGCATTCAATGCCAAGCTGTGGCATGTGTTTGCTTATTTAATTTTGTCAGCTGAGTTGGAATTAAAGTCCAAACTGTCATTTTTGCCATTTTCAAGCAGCCCTGCAAGAAAGGGACAAAGAAAGTATCAAGGGAAAGCAAATGATCAGGTTAACATTGTGGTTTAGTAGTTGCACACATGCCCGTGCAACCTGCTGCGTCCCACGGTGCTAAAGTGAAGTAACGTATTTGCTTGCAAACCATCTGTACAGAACCAGAGGTGTAACCAACAGTCAGCATGTCGGAGAATGTCAGACACACCTAAAATATGTGGAGCGTGCACAGTGTCGTTGGCATGATAATAAACATTAGAAGAGAGCAAAACACATCAAAATGACTGGCTAGTCCAATTCTAATGAAAAGCATTAGAGATGCAAAGTCTCTACAGGAGAGGCTAAAGAAAAATAATGCTTTCATTTCCTTAATCAGGCCAGGTTCATGAGGTGATGAGATGATAGTGGGGAAGAAAACAACCTGTCATCACTTGTCACAGAAATACAGGCTGGTAAAAGAATCGCTATAAATTCAAGGCGTGCACAGCATACTTGCGATAGCATCACACACTGACAGATGTTTTATAAAATACCTGACGCTTATATACCATTTTCCCAATAAGGTTTGCCGAGACAAAAGAACTCTTTGTCAAACCTGCCAAAACATCTTTACAAAAGGAGAAAAAAAATGAACAAGGGCACAAAGTGAAAGGGTGTTCCAAAACTGAGATGAAAGTCCGTAACAAAAGGAAAACAAAGTAGGCGTAGGTGACACTTTGCGTTCTGGAAAAAGAACAGACATTACCTTGAGAAAAAAAGCACTCCTTAGACTCAGAGTGTTCCCATGCCTGGCTCTACTGGGTGTTAGGCCATTATAGCATTGACATGAACCTCTTTTTAAAGATGTTCTCAGCGAGAGGATTCTCACCTCGTTTCCAAGAAAAGTTGCGAAAGCAAAGTAGCTTCAGGAAGTGAGCTACGATAGATTTCATCTGTCCGTTAATGATCAGATGATGAGAATAAAAAATTGAAGGCAGATGAAATGACTTGAATAAGTGGGAACATTAAACAGAGAAGAAGAAAGCCACCTGACAGCAATTGCTAACTTGTTTGGTATTTTAAAATTGACTGGGATTTTTGCAGTGGGTGGAATTTTTTGATAACAGCTGTAGGTTACTGGAAGTGTTTTTGCGTGCTGTAGCAATGTAGCCATGGTGGGGAAGGGCTGATTAATCTGAGGCGAGAGCCTTTTGAACTCAGGCAGTGGTCTGTTAAGCAGGAGTGATAGCATTTTTCCGCACATGGAAGAGCTTTGGATAATTTTATAGAGCAGTGTCACACCTTCCACCTAATTGATGGGAGCTCATACACAATTTACACATATAGATCTAAACTACTGGGAAAATTATAATAAACACATAGAGTCTAATCAGAAATGTACTTTTAATTAATTTCTGATTGACCTGAAATGTATCAATAACAAATAGTGTGTTTGATTCACCAGAAGTGTCTTTGTCAAAGTGCCGTTTACTCCTTCAGGGTGGTTGAAACGTGTGTTTGTAGGCGGTCTTGGAGTCTGAGACAATCAGCTCCAGGTTATGGGTCAATAAATAATTCAGGTTTTGTTCTTGAATCTTGTCCAGAGTTGCTTTGTAATGCATTTGGAATCCTGTTTTCTGGCAAGGGTTCATGATCTTACCTAACAGTCTAGTACAGAGTACACAGCCTGTCTTTATTTTATTATTCCCCTTGGATGTACATGTTGGTGTTGGGTATGAGCTTCCGTGTTTGGTTATAAGGGAAGTATTTAAATTCTAATATTTGAAAATTAAGCCAGGTGGTCATTTGTCCTAATGGAGACGCCTGTATAAGCGAAAGAAACAGTTTCCACAGCTGGATTCAGCCCATACAAGTGGCTTCTTCTTCTCTGACTGAAGGGACATTTCAGGGTGTGCTTGTCCGTGCTGGGGTGAAAGCTTAAATTAGACTGTGGACAGAGCAGTTCACTGTTTGGGCAGCCAAGAGAACTTTCATTTCTAAAAACATAATCATTGTCATCGCTGGTCAGAAATGCTCTCCAGTCCAAGCAAAAGGTCAAACGGAAACAGATGGACTTCAGAAAAGTTACAGAAAGCAAAGCGTCACACCACAGGAGCAGAACAGTGCCTTATTCATGAACTTCATGGGAAATCAAAAACACGTTTGAAAGCATGCACAAAAACATTCAATGGTAGACAATTGACTTCAATAACATTCCTTTTAACATAATCAACATCAGTATCAGTTTCTTTAACTGCTTTGGATATATTGCGATGATAAACAGTAACTTTCCTTGTGATTTCCCACCTGAGGCAAGTATCTAATTCTTCTGTCTCTCCTGACTCATAGCAAATAGATATACCAAGAAGTATTTGTTGGATTTTGTCCCACTCTCTTCTCTGGCAGCAGTACTAACCCACCCATTCATACAAAAACAAACAAATTGGTTCTGTGGGAGATATTTAATAAAGACATAAATAACACTCTGCAGATCATCTGATTAACAGGGAGTGAGCTAATAGCTGGTGATTATCAGAACGCACATGCTCAGGTGTACTGGAAGCAAAAATAATGTAGCTTAGTAGATAGCAATTATTAAAAGGAGGATTTAATATGATCTTTCAGAGTTGCTTAACTTTCATTAAGCTGCGTGTGGTACACACCCAGGCACTTACCTCAGATCATTAACTGATTACACTCTCGTGAACCTTTGGTCCAAAGAAGCTGTTTGGCTAAATACAGTAATTAAAAATAACAGAATGAAATGAAAGCGAGAGGATGGAGAACCCGCTGTGAGTAATTGATTCAATGTTAATAAATTAAACACCTTTCTACTCCAAATGTCGACAACAGTGACATTAGTGCGTTTTGTGTGTGTGTGTTTGCAGAACATTGAGTCCAGGCTCAAGGTGTTGCTTCCGGATGATGTTGGAGCAGCTCTAATGGATGGAGTTGTCCTTTGCCATTTAGCTAATCATATCTGTCCTCGGTCTGTAGCCAGCATCCATGTACCATCTCCTGCAGTGGTGAGAACACCCAATCTTCAAAATGAGTCTTTTTTTTAATTGTTAATGCCAAGAGTTAGAAATTCTCATGAATTTATTGGTTATAAAATTTTTGTCTGCTTAGCTATGTGGATTTTGTTCCGCTGTGAGTTTAATAAACTAAAATGATTGATATTTGGGCTTCTAGCCAAAGCTTAGCATGGCCAAATGCCGGAGAAACGTGGAAAACTTCTTGGATGCGTGTAAGAAGCTGGGTGTCCCACAGGTACTAACATTAACCATTTAACATTTTCATTCAGGCATTTCATACACGCTTCACTTCAAACACCACTTAACCTGTATTTATTTTGCAATATATCAATATATTCTGTGAAGATTTATTACCTTCCATGGTGATATCCACCGTTGGGCTCTGAAGCACAAGTTCCATACAGTTTCTGCAAGTTATATCATGCACACTCACTGGTCTGGTTTTTGCCTTTATCCTTGATCCTTCTCCAGATGAAGAATCACTGTCATAAATAATGAAAGACAAATGTGTTCTATTTGTCTCTGGTCAAATCTGCCTGTCAGAAAAGCTTTTAACAGTTAAATACTGTCTGAAAACCCCACCTTTTTTAAAAATTTTCTCTGAGTAAAATAAACAAAAAGAAATCTCTCTGTTGACTCAGGACAAGCTGTGCCTGCCGCATCACATCCTAGAAGAACGTGGCCTAGTGAAAGTGGGTGTGACTGTGCAGGCTCTGCTGGATCTCCCCACGTCTAAGGCCACGCAGCTCTCGACTGTTTGACACGAGCCTCAGTTTTGCATCGGACCAGCACTCGTGCAGGATCACCTCTCTACCAAGCCCAAACCTTCTTCCTCATTACCAGGGACCAGAGACCCCAGTGGGGCGAGGAAACAGTGGCCCCATGGGTCTTTTGGAGTCGACTTTTGCCTGACTGAAACAGGAGACAAGATGTCTAAATGCTTCTGTCTCTTCATATGATGTCAGCTACCACTTACCTCTTTTCCATCACATTTTCACTCTTATGCTGTTCCTATTACTGGGGTCATCCTGGATGCGTGTTTTCTAAGGTGCTGAGCTAAAACTTGCAGAAGAGGCACACACGACGGTGAACCTAAGACATTAAAGGCTTGTGCGTCCTTCTTTCTAGTCACTGAGTCTGCGAGTGTCAGCACTGACCAAGTGGAAGTGAGGAAATGACAGACACATAACTTACTCTTTCACTGGAAAGGACTAGGCTGCCTGTACTGAGTGACCTTATTGGGTACTTACACTTGAGTTGCTCTTCTTACTTGTTAAATTTATTTTCTCCGTGAATTTTTTCTTGATTTTTGTTTTCATGGTTTTACACAGTCTTCATCAGGCATGCAAGGATGATATCCTGTTTTCAGCAGCTAAGCCTGATTCATCAATTGTTTTGTTTTTGTAATGCATTTAGACAGTGCTTTTTGAAAGCCGGTGTAATCTAGGAATGAATTTTATGTTATTATCATGCAGACAGAGGACTTTCCGCCTGTTTTTCTGGTGCAGTTTCAACACCTTTCAACCATAAATCACATCTGCATGCACCAGGGGACTTGACATTTGACCACTGTGATAATACGAACTTGGCTTTTGCCAAAAGCATGATATCTTGTTTTGTACTGTAGCATTTTTTTCACTGTGTTTTTTTTTTTTTTAAACTCTAGGCCATTCTCGATTTTACCTTTTCTGAAGCTTTTGATACTTTGCTTCCAGCTGTTTCCAGTTAATGCTTGCCGTTTATGTGAAATTAGCAGCACAGATCTGCTGTATTGTTTATATTCTATGTGAATATTATTTGTGAACGGCTGACTGATGGGTGCCTGGATCCGAAAATGGTTCAGGGTGCCCTTACAAACTTCCCACGCACGGTATGGTCTTATTTTCCCACTAAGCCATCCTGTTTAGTGTGGTTTCTAATACACTTTATTTCAGGGAAATTCTATTATTTATCTATTTATTTACTTGTTTTAACTGTTTGATTTTTGATTTGTGTGTCTCTGTCCTCACTACCTGCCCACATGCAACTGAAGATGTTAATCTCATGTTTTCCAGCAAATGGGAAATGACTAAAAGCTTTTAACTTTGGCACTAATCTGTTCCATGTGGTGGATCTGAGAGTTCAGTTCACTACCACATGAGAAAACACACGACAAAAACAGACAAAACACAAACCAGAAATGGAAACCATAAACTAATCAAGAGATCTGAAGAATAATTTTCTTTATTTTTATATAAACACATTTTTTAACCTT